CACTACACCACCTACTGCCCCCTTGAAAATAACTTTTGTGACACTTATTTTTCTTTCTTAGTTTTTTTGCTTTGGGTGCCTGTGCCTGTCAAAGACAGATAGAAAGACAGATAGAAAGAGAGACAGATAAAGTGAGGAATCACCCGCTGGAGGGGAATGGTCACGACATAATCCCTTCTCCCCGGTGCTCCTCTCAGTATGCTGGCACTAACATGTTTCCTGCAGAGCTGACCATGTGGGATCCAGCTGCCTTAACCACCTCACCACTAGTCCTGGCACTGGTAATCCCTTGTTAAGACTTTCTTTACGGGCCAACAGATGGTGTAGTGGTTACATTGCTGAACTTCCACATGGGCGGCCACAGTTTGAGTCCCAGACCCAGTGTTCACTGGATTCCCACAGGTTGACTGCGGTACCAGTCCTACACCTGGTAGCTTCAAACTCAGTGTGTCTAAGATTCCAGGAGAATGGAGAAGGGACTTTGGTGTGGCCACACCCCAGGGAGATGATTTCTCGCTTTCCCTCTCACTGTCTACCTCCCCCCACCACCACTTCTCCCAACTTCACACATGACCTGAGGCAAAAAAAAACTCTTAAAATAAATAAATAAAAATAAAAACCATTTGGGACAAGCAGGTGGTGTAATCGTTAAGCCGCTGGACTCCCACGGAGTCAACTACAATTTGAGTCCTGAACATGGTGGCTTAAAACTGACACTGGACACATGTGCATGCATGCCCAAAATCTCAAGAGGAGAACGGAGAAGGGATTGCAGTGTGGTCGTCTCCCCTGGGGGGAGGGGGTGGGTGGTGATTTCTCACTTTGCCTTTCTGTCTCTCCAGCTTGCACACATGCCCTATAGCAAAAATCTCTCAAAAAGAAAAAATAAAAAACTTTGTTTTCCTTCCTTCTTTCCCTTCTCTCTTCCTTCTCTTCCCTTTCCTTTCTTTCCTCCTTCTTTTTCATTTTCTTTTTTGCTAGAAGGCACATGCACTCTCCAGAGAGCCGAGGGGTGGGAGTGGTGAGCATCCTCCAGGGGAAATGGTACACTGCAGTGTCTTCCTCTCTCCCCCTCCTATTGGGATTTTGGACCCACAGGCACACACACCCCACGTTTCCTGATGCCACAATCCTCCAGCCACCAGTGGTTCTTGCCACAGTGGTTCTCACCACCACACCCGTCCAGCATGTTTCTCAAACCACCAGATCTGAGAGGCAAACTACAGTCAGCTACGAAGGACCCGCTGCCTCAATCACCAGGCCATGAGGTCGGCCCAAAGACTCTTCTTCAAAAAATTGTAAACTATTAATCTTTTCCCCTTTTTTGTTTTTTTTTTTTGTTTTTTGTTTGTTTGTTTGTTTGTTTGTTTTAGTATTTTGCTATAGGGCACATGCACTCCCCAGAAAAAGACAGAGAGAAAGATGAGAAATAGCTGCCCGGGGATGGCCACACCAAAACCCCTTCTCCTCTATTTTTCCCTCGGGACCTTGAGCACACATGTACACGCGCCCCAGGGTACAAAAACCTCTCCTCTCAAGACATGGAGCTCAGGACTTGAACTGATCAGTTGGCCACGTGGGGTCCAGTCACCCCAACCACCAAGCTACCGGCTGACCCCCAATCTATCTCAGCCAGTCGTTTTGTGATGTGCGTGTCACTGACCACAGACGTGCAAGCAACAGAGCATGCAAAGGGCAAATCCAGCACTGCAATTATGGGAAGGGAAAAACATTTTTAGTCCATTCTTCAAATGTGCAGCAACATTTTTTTATCCTCATATCCAAACAGCATTCTCAGAACCAAGTAATATTCTAAGAGCAGAGAAAGGAATGTGGGACGTCATCTTTTTCAAGTTTGAGAATTCTGGCTATAAAAATTTGACTCTGAGGCCAGCAGCATGGTGGTTAAGGTGGCAGGATCCAACATGGTCAACTGTGTAGTTTGAATCCCGGATACAGAGGCTTGAAAAACATGCCAGGAACATGCATGGATGGGCCCAGAATTCTGAGAGGTGATTGGAGGAGAAGGGATTGGAGCTTGGACCGCCCCTCCTGGAGGCACTGTTTTTTTGTTCTTTGGTTTTTTGGTTTTTTTTTTTTTTTTTTTTTTTTGGAGACGTTTTTCCTATAGGGCACGTTCGCTCACCAGACAGACAGAGACAGACAGAGAGATAGAAAGCGAGAAATCACCCCCCAGGAGGGATGGTCATGCCGCAACCCCTTCTCCTCCATTCTCCTCTCAGGATCTTGGGCACGCACGCACACGCACCCGGTGTGAGTTTAAGCCACTGGGTCTGGGACTCGAACCACGGTCGGAGTCCAGTGACATAGCCATTCCGTCAATTGCTGGTCCCAAGGTGGTGCTTTCTGATCCCTTACATGAACACGAACACACACACACACACATACACATCTCTGTCCAGTGAGCACACAGGAACTATAGCAAAAAAAATTTTCTAATTATTTATTTATTGGGGGACCAGCAGTTAGCATAATGGCTATGTTGTTGAACTCTCATGTAGTTGACCATGGTTCAAGTGCCGGACCTGGTGGCTTAAATTCATGCAGGACGTGTGTGCGTGCATGCCCAAGATCCCGAGAGGAGAATGGAGAAGGGATGGTGGAGTGGCCAACCCCCCTGGGGGGTGATTTCTCACTTTCTATCTCTCTGTCTCTCTCTTTCTGGCGAGCCCATACACCCTATAGCAAAAACCTCTCCCAAAAAAACGGGGGGAAAATTATTTATCTACTGGGACCAGCAGGTGGCTTAGTGGTGGTTAAGGGCCCTGGATGTTCAAGTTCTAGACCTGCTTTCTCACTTTTTCTCTCTCTGTCCCCCTCTGGTCAAATTAAAATAAATAGAGTTAAATAAAATAATTCTTTAAAACACTTACTTATTGGGACCAGCAGTTAGCGTAATGGCTATGTTACTGGATTCCCATGTAGTCGACTGCGGTTCGCGTCCTGGACCCGGTGGCTTAAGACTCATGTCAGGCGCGTATGCATGCGTGCCCAAAATCCCGAAAGGAGAACGGAGGAGAAGAGATTGCGGTATAGCCATCTCCCCTGGGGGGTGATTTCTCGCTTTCTGTCTCTCTCTCTGTATGTCTGGCGAGAGCACGTGCACTATAGCAAAAACCTCTACCTCTCCCCTCAAAAAAACTTATTTATTTCATTTATTATTATTTTTTAAGTTTGCTATAGGGCATGTGTGCTCACCAGAGAGAGAAAGAGAGAGAGTAAGAAAGTTAGCCACCAATCCACGACTTGAACCATGGTCAGCCTTGTGAGAGTCCAGTGCCCTAACTACCACACCACCTGCTGACCCAGCAAAAGAACTTTTTGAAGAATTACTTCATTTCATTTATTATTATTGTTTTTTATTATTATTATTATTATTTTGACCAGAGAGAGAGACAGAGAGAGAGGGAAAGCGAGAAAACAAGCAGCAGGTCTGGGATTCGAACCACAGTTGGCCATGTAGGGTCTAGCACCTTAACTAGCAAATGGTCAGCCACGGGGGAGTCCAGCGATACAACCATTATGCCAACAGCTAGTCTTCAGCCAAAGAATTTTTTTTTTAAATATTTAATCTTGGGACCAGCACTTAGCGTAATGGCTATGTCTCTGGACTCCCATGTAATTGACTGCCGTTCGAGTCCCGGACCAGGTGGCTTAAAACTCACACCGGGCACGTGTGCATATGTACCCAAGATCCCGAGAGGAGAATGAAGAAGAAGGAACTGCGGCGTGGCCAACCCCCTGGGGGGGTGATTTCTCTTTCTGTCTCTCTGTCTGGCGAGCACACGTGCCCTATAGCAAAAACTTCTCCCCCTCAAAAAAAAATTAATCTTGGGCCAGGTGGTGGCATGGCAGTTAAGGTGACTATAACCCCCATGACTAGCTGTGTGGTTTGAATCTCAGACCCACCGGCTTGAAAAACACACCAGGCCCATGTACACATGTGCCCCGAATCCTGAGAGGAGGATGGAGAAGGGATTAGAGCATGGCCATCCACCCTGGGAGTGATTTCTCTCCCTCTCTGTCTCACTTTGGCAAGTGTCCATGCCCTCTAAGAAAACTTTTAAAGAGTCACCCAAATTTACTCCCTGAAAAAACTGGAGGGTAGGTATGTGAGTCAAGCCCATAACACCACATGATTTAATGGGTAAGACTGGAGATAAGAAGCTTCAATAACTGGAGCTGACACATGGTGTGGTGGTTAAGGTGCTACATTTCCATATGGCCAACCACGGTTCGAGTGCTGGCCACAGCAGCTGGATTTTTCCCTGTCCCAGTCTCTCTCTCTCTGGTGAACACATGTGCCCTATGGCATAGTTAAATAATAATAAATCATTATTATTTTTTTAAAAAACCTTCAATAATGGATTTTTATGAGTGGATTGTTATATAATTTTGAGCAAATCACTTTCTCTGAATTTCAAGTTTCCTTCATGTGTAAATTGAAAGTTTACCCTCTTTATCTTAAAGAAATACAGTCTTTAGAAAAGCTTAGAAAAATCAGTGACAGAAATTCAAGGCGGCATTACTGCTTTTCAAATGGAAAAGCCAAATTAGGAAGCAATCATAACAGAACACATGATGAATGGGAGTTCACACAAAGGAGTCTGGCACGTAAAGTTCTGAGAGAAAGAATGCAGGGGTTATAAGGCGGAATCAGAGAGCACCTTCAACCAATCACCACGGCAAGTAACTCCACAGAACTCCATACGGCCAAATACACGGCTCTCTCACAAGAAGTCAAAAGCCAGAAATAAACTGCTAGGAGGCAGATCCTGCACCTCCACTTCACACATGCAGCAGCATGTGCTTTTTACATACAAACTCTCGCGTGAAAGAAACCTCTACTGGGCATATCAAATGGGCTAACGTCACAAAACACTTTGCAGATACAAAACTAAGTGAACTCTAATCACTGTCGTTAAGCTGAAAGGCAGGGAGAGTGAAGCTCCGAGATTTCTGCTGCAGACTGTACTTACTAGGGCTTCCCAAAGTAAGTCACAACGATGTCGTCTGACGTCTGAGACACAGGAAAGCTTCTGCTCCAAAGTGTGATCAAAAACTGGAAATAGAAAGCCATAAGATTCAAATATGAGACTGACAATCTTCCTTACTCCCACTTACCTCAGGAGATTGGAGAAAAAAGGAAAGGAGTTTTATGTCCACGTTATCGTGAGGAAAAAGCTGCGCTGAGAACAGAGCACTCCTGAAAATTCAAGCGAGAAGGACGAAACGACTGAACCGTGAACAAACTGAAGCTCAACCTTTCAGTCCCAAATTATCAAAGAAATAAGAAGACCAGGACAGATACCCTAAAATGCAGAGAAATGACAAGAGATATTCTATTAGCCAAGCGAGGGGGAAAAAGTCGCTTTTGATGGAAGAAATTTCAGAGGCAAAAACAGCTTAACCCCAGCAATAGAGCAATGGGAACTGAAACCGGCCGCCTCAGACAAACAGGCCTAATGACTTTGGCAACCACATACCTTCCAGCCACCAACAATGGGAGGAGGCGCAGCAGAGCTGATGGCAAATCACAAGGCTCACATCTTTCTGTTTTCCCTACCACCTTTGACAAAAAGAGTCCGATCCAATCCTCAGAGCACCCAGTTGCCCCTGATACATTTCGGAAACCCCTGGAACTACAGCAACAGCACTGAGAAAGCTCTGAGATCAGTAACCCAGGAATCCTCACAAGCCCCAGGACAGATGGAATTACTCACCAGACAAGGAAGAAAAACAAAACCTGGAAGAGGTTAAGAAATTCATCTGAGTTCACAGATGAGTCAGGAGGCAAAGCAGAATTTGAATTCAGGCTTCCCCTTCAGATAGCATCAGAGCTTAACTCCCAGTCCTTGGCTGGGACAAGATACTGTGTTCAGTGTTCTCCAATCTCCGAGTCAGCCCAGGTCAGGTTCTTGGCTGACTAGAATAGGCAAGGAAAAATTTCCCTCAAGACTTCAGGAAAAGAAGTCCAATTATTAAATGCAGAGTCCTTGTGCTAAAAGGTCCAGATGCCCTTCTACTTGCCAATCACAACTCTCAGCCAATCAAAATAGGGGCCCTGGATTTAAGAACCCAGTCATTCTAAGCTCTGAGTACAAGCTGGATTCCATTTTCTCAACTTTCCAAATTAAGAACACTTAAGGAGGGAAGAAGGAGGCAAAAGCAGTCATAAAACGGCCGGCATGCACGTACTGGATAAATACTGTGTGCTCGGCACTGTTTTAGGCACTCAGCACATTACAGTGAGTAAGAACATTCCTGCCCTCAAGACGCTTAGGTGATCATTTATATCATCAAACAGCTTTGTGGCCTAGTGGTTAAGGAAGCCAGACCACATGTGGCCAGCCACGCTGTTCAATTTCTGGCCCACCATCTCGAAAAACAAGCCAGGCGCCTGTGCATGTGTGCCCCAAATCCGAACGGAATGGAGAAATGACGAAGGGATTGTGGTGTAACCATGCCCTGTTGGAGAAGTAACCCTCTCCCTCTCTCTGGTACATGCACACACCCTCTGGCAAATACAGACAGTAACAAAAAATACTTTGAAGTAGTGACAAATAATGCTAGGAATAAGGAAAGAGGGAGAGAGAAAATGACTTTGTTGTTGTTTTGCTTTAGGGTGCACATGCTCATTGAAAACAGAGACACGCAGACAAAGAAAGAAAGAAAGTATCCTGCGGGGGGTCATGGTGGGGGGGTGGCCATACCACAACCCTTCTCCTCCATTCTTTCATTCTCCTCTTCGGACGCTCGGCACATATGCACACACACCCAACATGTTTCTCAAGTTACCAGGTCCAGGATTCAAACCATGTAGTTAGCCGTGTGAGATCTAGCTGCCCCAACGACCAAGCCACTGGCTGGCCAAAAACAAAAAACACTTTTTTTTTTTTTTCAAATCTAGGGTGGCCAGATAATGTCTGAGATAATATCTGAGTTAATTAAGTAAAATTAGCATCTAGAGGTAGAAGCCTTGAAAAGAGATAGGTGAAAAAAATATTCTAAGGAGAAAGAAGAGCAAGTCCCAAGGTCCACGCAGGCAAGCTAGCATGTGTCAGGGCCAGAAATAAGGCCAATGTTACTGGAGCACAGCTAATAAAGGGGAGAGGATAAAGACGCAGATAGAAACCAGGAGACGTGGGTAAAATTTGATTTTATTAAGTGTAATAGGCTGCTATTAGAGAACTTTGGTTAAGGAAACGTTACGATGATGCGATTCAGGCCACAGCTCTAACAATAAAGGTGATGATGAGTAGTCAAACTCTAGACATATGGACAAATAGTCAAGGAATTACAGATGTGAGATAAAAGACAACTAGAGGGGCCACCAGGTGGTATTGTGGTTAAGAAGCTGGAGTTCCACATGGCTGACCGAGGTTCTAGTCCTAGACCTGGCTGCTTGTTTTCTCACCTTCTCTGTTTCTCTCTGGTAAGCACATGTGCCCTATAGTAAATTTAAAATAATAATAAATAAAATGAAATAAACAATTCTATTAAAAAAAAAAAGAAAGAAAGAAAATTGGAAGTGATTCCTAGGTTTTTGGCTTAAATCCAAGAGAACAATGGGTCATTGATTGAGATAGGTCCCACTATTCTCGTGGAAGGGAGATGGATGAGAGAGTAAACAAAAAGAAAAAAAATCAATAGTTCAGGTTCACTTGAAACTTTTCTACAAATATAGACCTGATAAAATATAAATAACTCAAGAGAAACAGAGATTAAGATTTTTTCCTACAAATTATAGAATAAACATAATTCAAAATTAATTAATTCTTCAATAATTATATATAGGGTTAAAATAATATTCAAAGAAAGAAACCTTACCTCAAAAATAACAGGATCAGAGACCAGCAGGTGGCATGCGATTAAGGTGATGGCCAACTGTGGTTTGAGTACTGGACCTGACCGCTTGAAAATCATGCCAGGTAGCATATGCATCGATACCCAAAATCCCAAGAGGAAAATGGAGAAGGAATTAAGGAGTGGCCATCGTCCCCTGAGTGATTTCTCACTTTTACTCTCTCTCTCTCCTGCGTGCACACACACCTTATGGCAAAAGAGAAAGAGAGAGAGAAAGAGAGAAAGAGAGAAAGAGAGAAAGAGAGAAAGAGAGAAAGAGAGAGAAAGAAAGAAAGAAAGAAAGAAAGAAAAGAAAAGAAAAGAAAGAAAAGAGGGAGGAACAAAGTCAGTCAGTCAGTCAGTCAGTCAGTCAGTCATCCCCGTAGCTCAACAGGTAAAGTGCTGCAAAGAGGAGTCCCCCTAGCTCAACAGGTAAAGTGCTGCAAAGAGGAGGCCAAACCCAACAGGGCCAACCATGGGCACTGCAGAGTCCAGGACTACTCCATCCTCCTCCTGGCATTTTGGGCACTCATGCACACAAACTCGGTGTGTTTTTCAAGTCCCAAGGCTAGGTCTGGGACTTGAACCACAGAGTCAGCCATATGGGATGCAGCAGCCTTAAGTACCACACCACTGGCTAGCCCTATAAGAGCAATCTTAAAGCTTTCTAAGTACATGGTAGGAAAAATCCCAGTATTTATCTAATTATCTGCCAAGTGATAAAGACAAGTAGTAAAATAAAAAACATTTAAAATAATACTTTTATTTAATATTCACTGAGCATTTACTACACATCTGGCAGTGCTAAGCACTTCTCCACAGATTATCTCACTTATTCCTCACCACAATACTATTAATACAGTTATCACTATTACACCCATTTCACAAATCAAAAACTGGACCTTAACAAGGTTAAGTGATTTGCCTAAGCAGAGGAAAAATTCAAAATCAGGTCTGTTGCCAAATGCCTGCTCTAATCACTATATGTAGTATTATATTGCTTCTGTAAGACATATATTAAAACTCAGATACAGTGGGGCCAGCAGGTCGAGTGGTGGTTAAGATGCTGGACTCCCACATGGCCGACCATGGTTCAAGTCTTGGACGGACTTAGCAGCATGCAGTCTCTCTCTCTCTCTCCCCCCACCCTGTCAAAATTCTACAAATAATAACAAATACAATTAGGTAAATATTAAAAATTTAAAAAAACAGGGGAAAAAAACACTTTTTTCATGTTCTTGCACCTAGAAAGTCATAATTACAAAGAGCTGATTCAGGAGACAGAAAGAATGGATAAAGCTGAATGAATCTGAGTCAGAACACAGTGACTCATGCTATAACTTTAGGCAAGGTCCTTAACATCCATGCCTCAACCTACTTATCCATAAAGCAGTTAACCTTACTGGAGCCAACCATTTCTTGCCTCCTGGTGGTTCATGAATGTTAATTAATATTTTTAATATACAGTCAGATCATCAGATGACAGAGACAAGGAAAACAATGCATTATTATTTTTGTTTGATGCTAGAGCAAAGCACCAGAAATCAAGGTAAATAAGTTATGGGCATCAAGAATGTAGAGTGTGGGGCCAGCAGATGGCAGAGAGGTTATGTTACTGCACACCCACATGGTCGCCAGCAGTTCAAGTCCCAGACCTGGTGGTTTGAAAATCACATCGGGTATGTGTGTGTGCACGCCCAAGATCCCAGGAGGAAAACAGAGAAGGGACTGAAGCGTAGCCACCCCTGTGGCGGGTGATTTCTCACTATTCCTCTCACTGTCTCTGTCTATCTCTCTTTCAGGCAAGCACACACACACCCTAAGGCAAAAAAAAAAAAAAAAAAAAAAAAAAAAAAAACCTCTATTAAAATGTTTTAAAAACTGACATGAGTGTGCATGCATGCCCAGGATCCCAGGAGAAGAGTGGAAGATGGGGGACTGTGATGTGGCCACCACCCTGGCAGGGAGATGTCTCACTTTCCCTCTCACTGTCTCTGTCTCTCTCCAGCAAGCACACATACCCTAAGGCAAAAACCTCTAAAAAAAAGAGAAAAAGAATGTAGAGTACGGGAGCAGCAGGTAGACTGATGGTTAAGGTGCTAGACTCACAAAGGGCTGTAAGTGGTTCAAGTCTCAGACCAACAGCTTGAAACTCATGCTGGGCATGTGTGCATGTGTGTCCCAAATCTCATGAGGAGAAAGGAGGAGAAGGGATTA